CTGATTTTGAATGACTGTACCTAAGACAAACTTATGTAGATTCTTACAAAATCTCCAGAATCTGAAAGAAAATTTGACAAAGCAAAAAAAAATTACCAATACCTATTTAAAAAAATAACATAAACCACCTATTTCAAATCCCTTTAAATATCTTAATAGCTTAAAAATAAGCTTTACATAATTTTCTTTTCAAAATATTTCTCTATTTTTTAAGCTATATACAGGCATTTGAAATATTAAATTTTTTCAAATTGTTATTGTCATAAATATTGTATTGCTGAGTTAAAATACTTGAAAATTTAATACGAAGGTTTTCATAAGTTAGTCTTACGGTCATTAAAAAATTATTAAAATACATAATATGCGCAATTTGTTTAATTATTGTTTGAAGTTCAAATATTTCCAAATTCTTCGAAAGAACATTTGAAATAAGAATATTAATAAAACCTCGAAATTACCGTATTAATAACAGTGACTTAATTATTAACACTGTAATTCAAGTTTAATAATAATACATCCATCACAGTTCACTCCATCACTCGACACCTATACAGCACAGGGACACTTCCCCGGATTTAGTTATGTGTTAGTATTTATATTATACTAGCTGAGTAGTATGATTTGGTATGTTCAGACCGCTGACCCTTCTGACCCTCTGACCCTCTGACCCTTCTGACCCTTCTGATCCTTATGACCATTGGCCGCCGCACTTCGCGTACGTGCGCGACTTATATTTTTGACCACCGGCGGCACATTGCTCACGTGTGCGACATGTATATTTTCCCCGCCACCCTTTTCCCTGCCATCATCGGCCGCCGCACCTTTCGTACGCATGCGCATCGTTCAGATGACCACCGGCTATTAGTATACATCCCCTATCACTGACGCATGCGCACTAAAATTTCCCTCACCTGTTAAACTTCTAGAGACTACACCCGCACCTATCGTACGCATGCGCACTGTAAAATAACACACGTGTGTGAGCATGGGTTTAACCATAATAATATCACCTTTTACAAGAAATATACATTCATTATATAAAATAAAAATTATATTTTTTTTACAAGAAATATACATTCATTCATTATACACAATATTTTTTACAAGAAATATACATTCATTATATAAAATAAAAATTATATTTTTTTTACAAGAAATATACATTCATTCATTATACACAATATTTTTTACAAGAAATATACATTCATTCATTATACACAATATTTTTTACAAGAAATATACATTCATTATATAAAATAAAAATTATATTTTTTTTACAAGAAATATACATTCATTCATTATACACAATATTTTTTACAAGAAATAAACAATCTAAACATAATTATACACAATATTTTTTACAAGAAATATACAGTCTAAACATATTATACACAATATTTTTTACAAGAAATATACAATCTAAACATATTATTATATAAAGCAAAATTAGTTTTTCCCCTCGTATTCGTCCATATGTCGATTCAATTCTTCGTCTAAAAAACAAAATATAAAATAATAATATTAGGTTTATTGAAAATAATAATATTATATAAAACAAAAGATAAATTATATTTAAAAAATAAGTTTTTCTGTAATTTACCTTCGTTAGTATCCATTTGCTGATTCACTTCGTCACCGCTCCATACTGCTTCATGTGCCATCATGTGTAGTTCCAGGATATCATTATACCCATCCTCAGCCCAATCAGTAGCATTTTGGCTGGGTTGAGTGGTATTTGATATCCTCCCGAAAATTAGTACGTCAAATTCCGGGAGTACCTGGGACCGTACTATAATGTTTAGCACACTAGGGGAGATGGGCGATAAAGATTGGAACCATTCATTTATCTCAGATTGCCGCGATGAATTTGAAAACACCACGCCGCCTACAACATCCAGCGGCAATATATCTGGTGAAGACTGTATTGATGAAAACGAACGAAGCCATTCGTCCATTTGAGATTGTCGCAGCGGTGATGGTGAAAACTCCATGTTCTGTATCAGGTTCAATGCGTATACCCCCGGTGTTGTAGGTGTAGAAGGTTATCTAACTTGTGATAATGAACTATGCAACTGTTGTTCGGTAAAGAAACCGCTATCTTGAGTCTAAATTAAAAATTATTGTTTATTTTATATTATATTATATTATATTATATTATATTGAGTCTAAGACATAATTTTTATTTAACACTTACCATATCTGAATATCCGATCGGGCGACGCTGCGGGGGAGGGCTAACGGGTAATAGTTGCGGGCTAAACCACCATGGTGTTTGCGCACCTTGTAGACTCCACGGTCTTTGCGCATCTTGTAGACTTTCATCTAACGCTGGAGCAATGGGCCTTGGGGTGACGGTCCTTGGGGTGACGGGCCTTGGGGTGACGGGCCTTGATGGCGGTCTATTAACCCGCTAAAACCAGATTACACACATTTTATAAATAATTTAATTTAAATATAATAATATTAAAAAATATATACTTACTAATACAAATGTCCTCTCTGGTGACATATAAAAAAAAGGCGGTGTATCTTCTGGAGGAGTCGCTACAAGATCCCTATTGTAGCTATCCCCGTTAAACCACGAAAAACTAGACGATGAATCTTTAGACATCTAAAAATCGATTTATACGTAAGTCTTGAATAATGTGAAAAAAAAAAATACTTACGTCTTCCAGGCGAGAGATGCAATAATCACGAACAAAATAATAAATATTACACGTAAATAAAAGTCGTATTTATATTTATAAGACTAAGAGTATACTGAGCTGACGAAAGGCACAAAAAGTATAACAAGAAAATCACAACTAACTATATAACCGTCGTCGCGACATATGGTGCCTTTTATTCGTATAAGCCAAAATTTGCGACGACTTCCCTTTCCATAATTCAACGAAAACCTACTACCTAAGGAATAATACACATCTAACTATATATCAGCCGTCGCGACAATATGGCGCCTATTATTCGTATAATTCCACCAAAATCTGCGACGACTTTCTCTTTCCATAATTCAACTAAAGCCTGCAAGCTAGGAGGATAATACATATTCGTTCAGATGACCACCGGCTATTAGTATACATCCCCTATCACTGACGCATGCGCACTAAAATTTCCTCTCACCTGTTAAACTTCTAGAGACTACACCCGCACCTTTCGTACGCACGCGCATCGTTCAGATGACCACCGGCTATTAGTATACATCCCCTATCACTGACGCATGCGCACTAAAATTTCTCTCACCTGTTAAACTTCTAGAGACTTCACCCCAGGTGACCCCCGCACCTTTCGTACGCACGCGCATCGTTCAGATGACCACCGACTATTAGTATACATCCTCTATCACTGACGCATGCGCACTAAAATTACCCCGGCCTGTTAAACTTCTAGAGACTTCACCCGAGGTCACCCCCGCACCTTTCGTACGCATGCGCACTGTAAAATTTTATAATTTTCAAAAATGTCCTGAAAGATCCTACTACATCCGTTTAGTACGTCTACAGTCTTAAACCGTTGTACACGTATATTTTTCGTCAGCGAACTAAGCCATTAAAATATTGTTAGCAAGTTTTTATTTTACTGTTCAACATTATTTACACGGAACTCAGTGTTTATTTATTTTTGTTTTGATACCTTATAAAATTTGAAAAAATGTTTAAATGCGAGCAGTGTCCATCCACGTTTACGCGTAAGGGTAATTTGACTGCTCACCAAAAAAATCACAATGGTGTTCGTTTTTCTTGTACTATTTGCGCGTCGACATTCGGCTACAAGACACATCTCAATAGGCATATGAAAAATGTGCATGGTATGTATATTTTATGAGCTGTTAGGTTAAGTTAGCTTTATTTAATATTTAATTCAATATTTATTTTTTAAGCTGTAGCACGTGTCAGACCTCAACTAGGTGAAATCGTACCGAATAATGTTGTATCGGAAGGTTCATCATCATATCAAGTTCAAAATGTCGATAATAATGAACTGGATGAATATTTTAACGATGGGTATGATAATATGCTCGCTGAAATGACTGAAAATGATCAAGGTGTCGTGAACGTTCCGGCTCAACGTCAACCAGCACAGCAAAGTGTTACCCGGCCTACTCCACAAGGTCATATTCAGATTGCTCCTGGAATATTTGTCCCAGATGTTCCGGCCGGTGGATCGAATGCGGCATCCGACGACGATATTATTTGTATGAAGGCAATGGACGAATTTGAGAATACAGGTTAGTTTTATTTATAAGAATTAATTAGATTTTTAAAAGACCTGCTGATTTTTCCTCCGTAGATTATTTTTTTTGAAAATTATTATCGTAAGATTTAAAAAAGATTTTTGAAATACGTGACATTAAATTATTTGTAAATGTCACAAGTTAAAAAGATAAATAGCTGTTTCATTAGATTTTATTTATCAGTCGTGGGGTTAATTAGATTTTTAATAGATTAGTCAATTTATTATTTTCATTAGATATTAATATTAGGTTTTTTTTTTTTTTTTTTTTTTTTAAAGATTCTTTCACTACCAACGTTAACGGGAAACGGGTTTCCTCTGCCAACACCACGTCGGCTGCTAGGGCGAAAAAAGCGCGCATGAGCCTAGTACAGTCCCCCGGTTTCGTTGAGATTTCGTCCTCAGCAAATAGAAAAATTGTATGGTACTATGCCAAAAATGTTTATAATACAATGATTTATACCGAGTTTCTTCGATCGCTCGAACCCGAGCTAAATAAAATATTGAAAACACGCGTTCAGCAAGGGGCGATTAAATTTAACCTTAAGCTCGAGGCGACCTATAACCGGGTCAACGTACCAAACTCGTCGGAGAACCGAGCGTTTAAAACAACAGCAACCGAAATTTATCCGGATAGTGATATCGACTCAATAGTAGAACAAGCGTTCGTGAAATTATTAGCTGAGGAAGACGCTTATGTTTCTCGCGGTAGTGGCTTTACTTTGGAAGCCATAGACGGCTTATTATTGGGAATATATAACTACACACCAATGACTGGGTCGTCATATATTGAATTACCAGCATACATCGACAGGAAACGGGGCACCATCAACCCACAAAACAATGACCAGCAATGTTTCAAGTGGGCGATTCTTGCGAGGCATGTGGTCGATAATTTATCGGATAAATATAAATATTGTGTCGGTAAAAACTATACACAACACGAAGCAAAATATAATTTTGATGATATTTCGTTTCCAACACCACTATCGGATATTTCTAAATTTGAAAAAAATAATCCGAACGTCACTGTGAATGTGTATGGGTTGGACAAAAAGTTCCAGCCGCCGCGTAAATATCCGACGTACGAGGTGTACCCGCTACGTGTCGTTGATGAGGAGAAAACCAACCACTTTGATCTGTTGTTGGTGACGGACGGCGACAACTCTCACTACGTGTATATATCGAATTTTTCCAGGCTGGTCCGCGCTCAGAAAACCAGACACACTGGGAGTGTCGTGTTCTGTAAGAGATGTTTTACGAGTTTCGACGACAGACGTCATAAATTCAAGTTGAGTGGGCAGGAGGCCCTGGACTAACACAAATTGATTTGCGGCGCGCACAAACCAATTTTACCAGAGATGCCTAAGGAGGGTGATTGTGCTGAGTTCAAGGCGTGGAAAAACACGGTTAGGCACCCGTTTGTCATTTACGCGGATTTTGAGGCGATCTTGACGAAGACGGAGGAGGCAAGAGGGGGTAGTACCACGATTACTCAGAAACACGAAGCTATGAGTTATGGGTTTTTGGTGAAAGCGAGCGATGACGTACCGGCAGAGTTATTGCTTCAACACCAGATACCGGCGGGGCCGGTAATCTACAGAGGCAGCGAAGACAGGACGGACGTAGCGAGACATTTTGTGGAGGCGATAGTTGAGGTGGCCCAGAAAATTGAAAATCTCATGAAGACGAATATTCCGTTAAAAATGGCTGAGGGTGAAGAAAAAACACATCAAGAGTGTATTAAGTGTAATTTATGCAAATGTATATTAGTCGGGGGCGATAAGGTTAGGGATCATGATCATTTGACAGGCAAATTTAGGCAGACCTTGTGCTCTAGGTGTAACTTAGAGTTGCAACAGCCTAAATTTGTACCTGTCTTTTTTCATAATCTCACAAACTACGACTCGCACTTCATAATCACTGAACTTGGGTATGATACTAAGACTATCAACGTTATACCGAACAGTGAAGAGAAATATATATCTTTTTCGAAATATATAAGTAGTACCTTCACTGTTCGGTTTATCGACACGTTTCGGTTTATGGCGTCGAGTCTGTCGTCCCTGGCTGAAAATTTGCTTACACCCGAACATGAGAAATTCCGTGAGACAGCCAAACATTTTGTCACCGGAGATATGCCGCTCGTGACTCGTAAGGGGGTGTACCCGTACGAGTACACGGATAGTTGGGAGCGGCTAGAGGATACTAGGTTACCGAGTAAGAGGAGCTTTTACAGTACGTTAACAGAGACCGGGATTAAGGAGAGCGAATTTGACCATGCTAAGGAGGTATGTATACACTTCGCACGTATTTAGATCTATATTTGAAAATTGTTGTGTGTTACAGGTATGGAGTCATTTTAACTGTAGGACGCTCGGTGATTATTCCGACCTGTACCTGAAAATTGACGTGTTACTGCTGGCGGATGTTTTTGAGAACTTCCGCGACTTGTGTATGAAGACGTATAACCTGGACGCCGCCCATTATTTCACCGCCCCAGGCTTAAGTTTCGATGCGATGCTTAAGTTCACGGGGCAAAAGCTCCAGTTATTGCATGATTACGACATGTTGTTGATGTTCGAAAATGGTCAGTATATTATTTTTTAAATGTGTATTTAATAATCTTATATATTTGTTATAGGTATACGTGGAGGATTGGTGCAGGCGAGCAAGCGATATGCGATGGCAAACAATGTAAAGACTCCGGGGTATGACGAAACGAAGGAGAAATCGTGGATCATAATATGATATATTATATCAGGACTGTGAGTATATTTTTTTCAAAACTTTTTAATATTTTTCTTACTTAATAATATTTTTTAAATTTTATAGGTAACAACTTGTACGGGTGGGCAATGTCTCAGTACATGCCGTACGGTGGGTTCAACTGGGTTGAACCTACATTGAATGGGTTGAACGATTTAGACGACACTTCACCCATAGGACGAGTGTATGAGGTGGACGTGTCGTATCCAAGACACTTGCATAACGGACATAACGACCTGCCTTTCCTGCCGCAAAACAGCGTGCCTCGAGGCTCGAAGGTTAGGAAGTTGATGGCGACATTTGAGAAAAAGGAGAATTACATCGTACATTATAGGAACCTACAGCAGGCCATTAAGAATGGTTTGATAGTTGAAAAAGTAAATATTTGTATTTTATATGATTTTAAACAGATTTTTAACATTTCTCTTATTTTGTATAGGTACATAGAGTGATACAGTTCAACCAGTCAGATTGGTTGGCTAAATATATAGATTTAAACACCGAAATGAGGAAAAAGGCTAGGAACGCATTTGAGAAAGACTTCTTTAAATTGATGAATAACGCTGTATTTGGTAGGTTACTTTTAAATTTTTAAAACTTTTAAAACTTTTTAAAAATTTACTATTGTGCAGGAAAAACTATGGAATCGAAACGAAAACAGCTGAAAATAGAGTTGGTATCCTGTGAGAGGAGGTTACAGAAATGTATTAATAAAACTACTTTTAAACACTGCACTAATTACAATGAAAACCTCAATGCAGTAGCGTTGGAGAATAAGATAATTAAATTTGACAAACCTATATATATTGGTAAATATACTTTTTAAATTATATTGCTAAATATACTTTTAAATTATATAATACATTTATTTTCTATAGGATTTTCAGTGCTGGATATCAGTAAGACGTTGATGTATGACTATCACTACAATGTTATGCAGAAGCACTATAGGGATAAAATTAAGCTAATGTACACTGATACAGGTAAATATATTAAAACTTATCTAATTTTCATATATTATATTTATTTTTATTTTTAGATTCGTTGATATACCATATTAAAACTACTGATTTTTATGAAGACTTGGCAGCTACTCACAGCTTGTTGGATCGAATGGATACAGCTAACCTACCCAGTGATCATCCATGTTATGTTGCAGTTAGAAAGAAGGAACCTGGGTACTTCTCAGATGAAGTAGATGCTGATATAATCACCGAATTTTGTGCATTGAGGGCAAAGTCCTACGCTTTTAATGTATATGCAGGAGAAGAGGATGCGGTGAGAGATAAGGACGACAAGGATAAAGTTGGTGGTGAAAAAATTAAAGCAAAGGGGATAAGGCAGCATGTGGTTAAGAACCACATGACATTGGAAGACCACAAGAAATGTTTATTTGGAGAAGCTGGCGTGGAGGCGTATAAGGATAACGTGTCAATACGGTCATTCAAACATCAACTCATGACGATTAAGACGAAAAAATTAGCATATAACAGCTATGATGATAAGAGGTTGGTGCTGCAAGATAAAGTACACACACTGGCCCATGGACATTATAGTATAGAGTAAGTTATTACAAAATATATATTTAAATTATTTTACTAACATTTTCTCTTAATTTTACAGGGAAGATGAACCAGAGGATGATTGGCCGGAATTAGATTTTATGGGGGGGAACTGGAACGAGGAAGAGAAAGGCTTAATGAGAGACCTTCTACAGTGCCTAACCTAAGTTTATATACTGTACATTTTTTTTTTGTTATATTTATTGATTATTGTAAATATTACTCTATTAACTGTTATATTATATTGATTAATGTAAATAACTTGTAAATATTATCCTAATAATTGTTATATAATGTAAATACTTGATAATAAATTATTGTGTAATTTGTAAAATATTAGATTAGTGTATAAATTTGTAGTATTAACACCTTTATAAATATCCATGTAAATGTATAATTTTTATATTGTATAATTTGTAAATACTCTGTAAATATTATACTATTAATTGTTATATAATGTAAATACTTGTTAATAAATTATTGTGTAATTTGTAAATATTTTTGTAAAATACGAGTATTAGATTAGTGTATAAATTTGTAGTATTAACACCTTTATAAATATCCATGTAAATGTATAATTTTTATATTGTATAATTTGTAAATACTCTGTAAATATACCGTATGCTTTTGCTATATATGTAAGTTAGTTTACAATGTTTTCTTATAATATTTTTTTTTTGTATAAATGTTCATGTTTTTCTGTTTCAGGTAGATGGAAGTCAATATATTTAATTAAAAAACCTTGTAAATGGTAACATATATAAATGTATGTATATATGTTAGCATATAAATAAAAAACAATGTTAAAATATATTATTATTATATTTATTAAATAAAATGTATACCAAAAACTTTAAGAATTATGTATAAACCATTTTCTTATAGCAAAAACTTTATAAAATGTACATTGCTTAGGATTAAATTCCATATGAAAAATACAGCAAGGCAGAGTTTCGTCATCACATATTTGATCCAAACGAGGGCAGCCTAAGTCTTCAATGTTGATGAGTGCAACGTGTGGTATATGCTCCATAAGAACTTGTTTTTTCTGTTCACCTTTGACGTAGATGCAACTGAATTTAAATGAATTCAATATTTTACCTACTTCTTCGTACTCGACATCACCAAATTCTATAGCTAGTTGATGATAATTACGTTCCAGCCACTTGTTGGTTTTACGACTTTTGTTATCCTCTATGGATTTTGAATGTTTAAAAATCCAGTGTTGGGTCGCCCATGTAAACGTGTCTACTATAGACATTTCTTTAATCATATATTTATTGTTGACGCCGAGTATGCATTGCATGTCCAATATGGCTGAAGACATTATGGCTTGTCTTTATAATAAGTTTCTATAGTGTTAAGACGGCTCAGTATAGATGGTATTATTTTTTTAATCTCGCCTATAGTTTCTTTGATATATTGTAATGATACTTCGCCTCTTGTCATATGCTCTGTAATCTCTATGCACGTTAATTCTAACTTTTCTGTTTGTTCCTCTTGAATTTGTATGGATTTATGGTTTTCTTCGAGTAAATGCTCAATTTTATCGAGTTTATTCGAATACGATTTAACAATTTGTTCGAGATTTACTAAAAAATTATTAGTTTCACTAGACTGAGAACTACCGAACACGTTCATGTCTGTAGCCTAGACTAACACTATTTTCTAATGTCACGTACATTTATCCAACTATTGTGTGTATTATCAAACCCTAGCCATTTGACAAAAATTTGCTCCCCCTTCTTACGGATAATTTTCTCCACTAAATAGTCATTCGGATAGTTTGTTTTCAATATTTCCTCTGAATAAAAACAACCAGCAATCGGTTTTCCAGTATAATCTTGTAGCTGATAAGTAGTAGGTAATGTTTCGTTAATTTTAACAATTTTGAATATTTCTGTAGACCAGCTAGGTAAATATCCTTTTGTAAATACACTTTTATATGTGCTTATACGAACGTTATCACCAACGTTAAATTTGATTGTTCCATTAATAATTTTTCGTTGTTTAATTACGACAGCCGCCGGATCTGCATCAGCTTGCACTGGTGTCATACCTATTGTCCTATGTTTTGAGTTGTTGTACTCGTTAATCAATGAAGGTAAAATTGATATCCATTCGTGTGAACCGCGTGCCGTAAACTCTCTAAACATTTTTTCTTTCAATGTGCGGTTGAAACGTTCGATAATGCATGCTTTCATGATGCTAAACGTTGAATATTTGTGTATGTTATGCTTTTTCATCAATGCGTCGAATGTAGCATTGTAAAATTCTTTACCATTATCGAGCTGTAATAGTTTTGGTGTGCGTGTGAGCAGTATTTTAGACATTGCATTTGAAACTTCTATAGCAGTTTTAGATTTTAATTCTATGGCCCAAGCAAACTTTGTAAAACAGTCTATGACGCACAAAATATACTTGTACCCCTTGTTTTGTTTTGAATATGGTATCATTTCGACCAAGTCGGCCTGCCACAGATCGTTTTTGCCATAAACATTAACTCTACGTCTTGTATAATTTTTTCTAACAGGTTTGTGTAGTTCGTTCGCAATTTCGCGTTTAGACATTTGGAATACGTTTTATTATACCCGCTTCTGGCAGTTCTTCAAAAATGGATATTATTTCGTTCGAAACACCTGTATTACCAGCTGCTTTTGACGCTAATAGTAACCGCAATCTATCGACTAGTTCGTTAGGATCGTTCCAGTAAACTAAACTATGTTTTTGTAATTTCAAAGATAGACCTCTACCCGCTAGAAATAAATTTTGGATTATATCATAATATTTATTTCCACCTTTTTTAATTTCTTTTCCATCTGTTTTTAGATGCGCTGATGTTTGAATTAATATAGATTTATATGATTCTAAATCATGTTTGGTGTAGAATTTTGGAGATTTTGAAAACACTAAATTACCAAGCCCTTGTGTTAACGGGTATGAAGTATCTTCAATAATCAATTTATTCCCGACAAGATTAATTTCTTTTTTCCCCAAATATACACTTCCGTTTGATCGTATTTTTGGCCCATACATTTTGTCTATATCGTAAGACTTAAACCAGTCGTTTATTTTAAAATCTGACGAATCGTCTGTATTGTTTATTTCAAAATATTGAGAATCTTGAGAGTCTTTTCCAAGTTCCGTGGGTGGGTTTTGAAATGTTGCAGGATTTAAATGTTTTATTTCGTTTAATGGTTCGATAATCGGACTTAATGTTTCTGATACTATTGAGTGAATATCAGCTTTTCCGTGTTTTAATGCTTCATACTTGCGTTTAATATTTTCTTTGGCTTTAATCAATTCTCCGAGTACCTCACCGTTAGAAGCCATGTCTGTGAATGTGGTGTTTTCATAAAAACAACACTTTATATAACGACGAATGTGTCAAATCCGAGGCGATATCGACCATTGTCACGTTCACAGTCTTTGTTTATTACGATAAACTCGAATCTCCCCCGACTCCAACACGATGTACTAAAGTATTTAAATCTGAATATGACATATCACCAGAGCAATGCTCATTGTATACATGCTTTAAATTAGTTTCGTCTTGTTTAAATAACACAATAAAATTAGCGTTATCACGCAAAAGTTGTTTTGGCACTTTTGAATAACTCTGAGCCAGGTAGCAAACGTCTATTAAATTATGTCTAGCTCTGGAAAAGTAAGTTCTTGCAATATTTTGGTTTTCAAAAATAATATCGTCAAAAATAAATACAGAGTTTGGCAAAAATCCTTCAGGTGCTATAACTTTTTCATTTTCGTAGAACTTGAATAATTGTATTCCATCAATGTCTGATAATATATCGCTAAGCATTTTATATTTAGGCTGATCCAATGTTTTCGAATATATGTATACGTTTTGAAATCGTATTCCGTTTATATTGGTTAATAATGTGTAAATTAAATTTGTTTTTCCGCAGCCAGAAGGGCCCACGATAAGCGCGCGTATCGTATTTGGTAGAAGCGCTCCGTGTCTGTGTTTTTGATCTGATGTAGGCGGGTCCACGTTTTCAACTGTTAGTTTTATTTCTTGTTTGATGAACTTCATTTTTTATATAAATAACTGAGCAACTATGATAAATCAATCAGTACACAATGTCACTCGCTCGAAGAAGCAACAAGAATAAGGGCAGTGGACTTATCAACACGCTTATAAACAAATTACCAATCGAGCTTCACGTACCTGGTATTATATATATAAACCTTATAATATTATAATATATACAATAATAATTTTATATTCTAGGTTATCAATACTGTGGACCTGGTACAAATTTAAAAAAACGATTAGCACATGGTGATAAAGGTATAAACCCTCTGGACTCTGCTTGTAGAGATCACGATATTGCATACGAACATAGCAACTCTATCGCAGATCGAAACAAAGCCGATTATATATTAGAGCAGCGAGCCTGGGATAGGTTCAAGTCAAAAGATTCTAGTTTAAAAGAAAAAGCTGTGGCTTGGGGTGTGACTACCGCTATGAAAACAAAACGTAAAATAGGCGGAGGTTGTGGGTTTAAAGCAGCACTTAAAGCAAGTAAAAACGTTATAAAGAAAAATATCGGTGAAAAAAACTTGATGAAATTAACTAAAAAATGTGTAGCTGTCGCGCGAAAAACATTTAAAATTAAGAAGACTAAAGTTCCACGAACAATAACGATCCCGAAAAAAGGCGGCTTGTTACCACTCATACCGATTTTTGCCGGTTTGTCAGCTCTGGGAACCTTAACTGGTGGTGTTGCCAACGTTGTGAAAATGGCTAATGAATTTAATAGACACACACCATCGCATTTAGGCAAAGGTTTATATCTAACACCGTATAAAGGCAACTCATACAAAATTGATTCCGGTTTATATCTCGCACCATTTAAAAGTGGAGGGGGTGCCAAAACTAAAAAAAACTAATATCTACGTTACCCAGGAGAGCGTTGTACGATTTCGAACTTATAAAAATCGCTCGTTTAATGAAAATACCTCATTTCATCGGCGTGTTTACCAGAGATAGGTTATCTACACGTCCTAAACGCCAAGAATCAGCGATTATTAACTTGGACACGGAAAACGGTACAGGAACGCATTGGGTAGCGTATAAAAAAATCGGAAATCAAGTTAAATATTACGACAGTTTTGGAAATTTACCACCCCCACTTGAAGTACAACAATATTTTCGCGGATGTGACATACATTTCAATTACAGCAGGGAGCAAAATTATAATACTACAAACTGCGGACATTTGTGTTTAAAATTTTTATCATGTTCACATTAACGTTAAACGGAAACTCTAGTGAGCTGTCATGCGAGATCTTTCCACCGTTGGAAGTAGAAAATACTGCACAGATATGTCTTTTGAGTTTACAGACAAATAATTCTATACCAAACATAGAACCTGGCTGTAATACTATTGCCTTTCGTAATTTTATCAATGAAAATGAGTACGTAATTATACCTACAGGAACATATGAGTTGAATCAGTTAGAGTCTATTATTCAAAAAATTATGCCCGACTATGTCACTATGTTTGAATTAAAAGCAAACAGCAGAACATTAAAGTGTACGATATCGTGCAGCCATGATGTTGATTTAGGAGTCGAGAATAGCATAGCGAAATTGCTAGGTTTTAGAAATGTACGATACACTACTGGTGCTACTCATGAATCTGAAAATATTGTCAACATAATGAAAATAAACTGTATAAAAGTAGAGTGTAATTTAATCACCGGCTCATTCTGTGACGGAGCGCCGAGCCAGACTATACACGAGCTTTACCCCACTGTGCCTGCTGGGTATAAAATCGTTGAAGTACCTAGACACCCAGTTTTTTATGGTCTCAACACGAGATCTATAAGTAGAGTAATTGTCGTACTAAAAGATCAAGACGACTGTCTAATTAATCTTCGCGGTGAACCAATAACAGTCCGCCTACAAATCACGCGTGGATATGGCGCTCAAATTTAACATTAATATAAAAAGAGCTACAATCAAAAAACCTATCAGTTTACCACCTGCCGTTAAGAAGTCAACATCTATGTCAAAATCGAAAAAAACTATCTCTAAACCGAAAAAAAACAAGTCCAAGCTCACTAAAAATAATTTAAATTTTCTCCGATCGCTACAAGTATAATTATGGATGACACGTATTTAGACGTTACTATGTCGACGAGTGTAAAATAACGCAGATGAATTATCATTCGTTCACTCCGTACTCAAACATGTCTTTATCAAATAATGATGAAATAAGGATAAATATTTTAAATATGGATTCGTACACTTTACCGTGTGAAAGTTATATTTACATCGAGGGAAAAGTAAATAAGCCT